GCTCAGTCATTTCCAAATCTGGTCGTGTACTGCCCTCTAGTGGTCACGAAAAGTAGTGAGTCTGTGCTATAAAAGGAGAGGCAGTAAAAGGAGAAACAGTGGGGCATGACTGAGAGAAGCTCTGATAGAAGAGCTGAAACTAAGTCTGCAGACATCAGGACCATCTGTAGTGTTTAATTCACCATCTCAGGGCAGACAAATTACCAAAGATACAATGTAAATATATAGTTATAGTAGAAATACATAAGAAGACTGAATAAAACATCTAAAAGAACCTTTTGGTAAATTAGTCGTAATATGTAGACCCACATTGTAGAAGGTATTGGCAAATAATGGCAAATAATTCTGAACATTATGATATAAATCATGCTTGGCTCCACAGATTCCATAAAATGCAATTTCCTCCTGTTCTAGAGGTCCCACAGTTTCTGCACTACCCATCTTTACCTCCTTCAATAACTTTAATGGAATATGTTTGAATGGAAATGTGCATGGTTTATAAAACTGGAAGTAAACTGGATTTTGTAGGTAAGCAAACAAGTCAACATGTGAAAAGTTTCACTCCAAAATTCTGAGCACACATTTCTAACAATTTTGGACATAATGAGTTTTCGAAAGAAAAACAGCTGACGTCTAACAGAAATGTACTTCTCTACAGAAGCTGCAGAATGAGGTTAACATGACCAAGGACGTGAACTAAGAAACAAAAGGTTAGTTTAGACAAGAGTAGAAAGAAAAGCAGGCCTGTTTCAGACAACATACTGAAGAGGAAATCCACCAATTTGAGTGTCTTGATAAGAAGTGGCCCATTATAGAGAAACTTAGACTCCAAATTCTTTGCAGTGGTGTTGATAGGAACCAGGGGGCACCACGTCTACAAACAAAACAGACTTTTATTTAATTAACTATCCAAAACCACCAGTGAACCTACACTCATCTTTTGAGTTTTAATATGGAATGTTGATGATGGGAAAATAGTGATAAATCAGAAGAAACAAGTATTCTCTGGGGACTATTTTGCCTCACAACAACATGCATGTACCCCTCCACCTTGAGTGGATTTAAAATATTAAAAATTTAAAATATCTAGAACAGAGCGTTTCACACCAAACCACTCTGAATGACTCCATTCACATCTTAAACATTTACCGATGTAGAGTTTTTAAAAACTGGTGGAGTTCCCCTTTAAGTTTTGCTGCTGGAAGGTGCTGTTAATGGTTCTTCAAGGACAGTAAGAAACAGCCATATTTGTCCACAATCCAAGGGCAAAAAGACAGAATAATAAACATCTGACTGGACACTGAGCTTTAACATTTCTTCCATTTACTAAATAAGGAATGTCATTCCACACACACACACACACACACACACACACACACACACACACACACACAGAGCGTAATCTGCTGCCAAATAGGCCTGCACAAGGAGCTTTGATGTCAGCCTCACTCTGCACGCTCTCTTCACCTCTCCTCCTTTTTTCTTCCTCTTTTTCTCTCTCTCTCTCTCGCTCAGCAGGCAAGGGCACACAGCGTGCACATTAGAGTGTGTGAGTGTGTGTGTGTGTGTGTGTGTGTGTGCGCGTAGTTGGCATGTCTTTGATCACTTCATTATTAGTGAGGTATGCAAAGACAGAGGAATTCAGAACCCCTTCTTCCTTTTCTTTTCACTCTCACTCCATCCTCCACTTCTCCCCTCAACTACAAGACTGTTTTCCCCCAAATCTGACTTCCCTGACTTCCTTTGTCCTGAGAAAAAAAGGCCAGATCCTGTTATACATGACAAAGTAACTCCCTCTGATCTCAATTTACTTGGTAATTGTGCCACTTAACTGGTTAATCAAGTCATTTACTAAAAAAGTTCATTAACAGCATAACAGCAACATGCTGCACTGTAAGAGTGATGATTTCACACCAGCACTGAAAAAGTTAAAGATCATTGTTTAAAAATTAATAAAAATAATGAAGATTATTGTCTTGGGGCCAAAGTTGGTCTCTGATGAGCTGAGGGTCAAAATTACAAAAATATACAAACAAAAAAAGGTAGAGATGTTTTTTTTTGTCTCAATGTACACGTTTAAAAAGATTCTTCAGGGGTTCTTTTGTAAACGCAATGGTTCTACATAGAACCATGAATTCTATATAGAACCATATGCATGCTTAAACAGTTCTTTGCATGGTAAAATGTTTTTTTAGATTGATGGAGAAAGTCTTGTATATGACTCTATATGGAACCTTTTTAAAAAGAGGTCTATATAGCACCAAAAACGGCTCTCATATTGTGACAGGCTTGACATCGTAAAAATAGAAGAACCCTTTTTTTCAGCATAAAAACACATTCCCTTTACTTGGAGAACCCTTGAAGAACCATCTTTAAGTGTGTACTTTCATACCAATACATTATATTCTGTGACCAAAACACCTCAGAAATACTATGTTAAAAGGAAAATAGGAATTTAGTGAGTTAACAAGAGTATAAATATAGGTATATTAAATATATAAGAAACTGAATATTAATTTAAATGTTGACCTTACTGTACATTACTACTACAGCTGGGTGATGTGGCAAAAATATAATATTGCAATAGTTCAAGAAATGTGCATGAAACACGATATAATCACGATATTTATTATTTCATACATCTGATCAGTTGGAAGAGAGAAAAAAGATCCTACATTTAAAAAAAATACTGTCATAAACTGTAAACACAGTGTTTTTTACTCGACATTTGGCATTAAATCCAGTTAAACTGGACTAATTTTGCTCTCTATATAATGAAACATGCAGTTGGTCAGTGTTCAAGTACTGATGATATACACCATATGTTCAGAAAAGCATATTGTACTGCATTGTAACAATTTCTCAGTCACGATATCCATTCTTATACTGTCCAGCCTTAATGGCTACTATTACATGGAAAACTAAACCTTTTTACAGAACTCTACACTCACAAGATATTACTAGTAGCCTGCAATGATATTCAAATGTAATTATATAATAACACTTAACACAGTTAGTTACATAATGAAATACTTTTAATTTAATTCTAAAATCGATGGGGTTGGAGTCTGCACTTCTATTTTTAGTTAGTTTTAATGTAAAAACCAAAAAACTAAAGTAAATAAATAAAAAAAACCCACGACAAACATGGGAAAATGTAACAGATGTTTGCTTTTCCTCTGGTCTGTTACGGGAGGTAACACAACTTCAGCACTTATGAGCTCCGAGTGAAATAATAATTCATATAAGCTACAGTGTGATTTGATGGGCTGTGATGACTGTGTTGGGGTTCAGTTGTTTCTCCTGCATCTTCTTGTCTGTTCACGCATGTTTGCATCAGAGAGCGAGAGACTGTGACAGAAAACATGCAGGAAAGAGAAAGAGAGAGAGAGAGAGAGAGAGAGAGAGACAGAGAGAGAGAGAGAGAGAGAGAGAGAGAGAGAGAGAGTGAGAGTGTGTGTGTGTGTGTGTGTGTGTGTGTGTGTGTGCGCGCGCTGAGTAGACAGATGGACTGGAGACTGCCGATTGGACCAGCGCCAAGATTCTGATAATGAGAGAGAGAGAGAGAGAGAGAGAGAGAGAGAGAGAGAGAGAGAGAGAGAGAGAGAGAGAGAAGAGAGAGAGAGAAAGAAAGAAAGAAAGAAAGAAACAAAATAACAAAAGAAGTGGAAGGAGAGAGAGAGAGAGAGAGAGAGAGAGAGAGAGAGAGAGGAAAAAAACATGGACAGAAAGGGGTTGATAAAATGTGAAAGAAAGAAAGAAAGAAAGAAAAAGAAAGAATGACAGCACGAACAGATAAAGGCAGGAAGAGGCAGAGAAGAGAGAGAGAGAGAGAGATAATGGAGAAAATGAGAGTAAAAGAAAGAAAGAGGTAGAGATGTAGAGAGTGACAGCAAGAAAAGAGGTGGAATGAAAGATTTTTCTCTATTTTTATTCATTGTTTATTTTATTAGGATTTTTTCAGCACATCCATATAAATTTTATGCTTGTATGTATTACCATATTTATATCTCTAACTTTATAGCTCTGTTTTAATGATTTATCCCTATGAACCTTTTTTATTTGTTTATATTTTAACGATAATTCAATTTAACATGTATGTACAGCTTCAGCAACATAGGTCTCATATCCTGTCATGAGAGAGAGAGAGACAGGGGGAGAGAGAGAGAGAGAGAGAGAGAGAGAGAGAGAGAGAGAGAGAGAGAGGAAACTGCGTTTGTATGAACATAATGATGTTGAACATAATCTGAGACGCTGAACAGCACAAACCTCGTTTGTGTGTGAACTGAAAGAGCAGAAAACAAACAGGAAAAATAAACAAACACAATAAACATGATTCTGAATGAAGAGCAGAGGTTCTGATCTTGTTCGTGGTTCTCTCCTTTAACATTACGGAGTCATTATTCTTAACAGAAGAGTGAAAAGCACTCCAGTCTGTATCAGAATGTGTAGGATGAAAAATACTTTACAGCAAAAACTGACTAATCAGAAGTTAATCCAGCCACAGTATCACATCCAGCTGAACGGGTCGGACACACAGTCTCTCACAGGAGACCTGTGTAATGACCAACTCTCACCACAAGGTGTCACTAAACACACAGCAAATACTGCCACACTGTGAAGCACCAAATGAATAAAAGCGTTCTGTGTAGGTGCCTCAAAACTGATATTATTTATTAATTAAAAAAAATAAATAAATAAAAAAATCACTGTCTGCACTCGTTCAAACAATAATCTTCATATTAATGACTCAAATGTTTCATGTTAATCAGCTGTTATAAGTAAAGCAAATCAGACCTTCATGCATGATTTTTTGATGACACTAATTCTTCAATAACAATAAAGTTAACCTTAAATAATAATAATAATAATAATATATTATTATTATTATTATTATTATTATTATTAGCAGCAGTAGTAGTATTATAACTGAAATGACATTCAGGATAATAACTGCGTTCCAGAAGGGAAGAGAACAGTTAAACCGAAGCAGCACTTACATTCTCAATAACAAACGTCCAGTCTTTGTCCTCAAACTCCTCGGCGTGGGGGTCCTGCAGGAGACCAGACGAGAAATTAAACAAGACTGTTTTATTGATCAGTGTTACTTTAAATAACTGGGTGTGTTAATATATGACCACGTGATTAAACTGGAGCTCCCAGTGTGTTAAAGCTGATATTCTGTGTTTATATAATTACCAAATTAAAAACTAGGAGTTAATTCATCTCTACAATATAAACAGTCTAACTGTGTTTAACAGCTGCATCTGTGAACACGGCTGTGTAAGAAAGAAAGAAAGAAAGAAAGAAAGAAAGAAAGAAAGAAAAACATTGGCAGATAGAAAAAGAAAGAAAGAAAAAAGAACAAAAAGAGGAAAAATAATAATTTAAGGAAAAAAAAATGAAAGAAATATAAATAAATAAAAAAGAGACTGACAAAGACAAAAAATAATGAGAACAAGAAAAAAGAAATGAAAATGAAGAAAGAAATAAAAAAGGAAAAGAAAAGAAACAGACTAGCAATGAGAAAAAAGAGAAACAAAGAAAAAAGATAAGGAAGAAGAAACAAAAAATTATGAGAAAAAGAAAATAGAAAGAAATAAAAACAGAAAAAAGAAAGACTGACACAAAGAAGAAAAATAAGAAAAAAGAAAGACCGACAAAGAGACAAAAAATAAAAGAAGGAAATACAGACAGAGTGTGATGAAAGAAAAGCGAGACAGACAGACAGACAGACAGACAGAGAACTGTGTCCGTATGAAGAGAAACAGACACTCTGAATCTGAGAGTGAGGAGCACCTTAAACAGCGTGACTGTGATCTCGACGTTCTCAGGAACAGGCCACACCACCACGCCTCGGTACGGGTTCTTAATGCCCGGCTGCCAGCTGTGTGACTGAGAACACACACACACAACGTCAAACATCAAAAATCAGACAGGATCGTCTCAAATGCCTAAAAACGATAGAAACGGACGCTTAAACAGAGTTAGGACGCTGTTGGGGTTCATCCTAAAGTTAGGACAGGATTTAGTAGATTTAGTCTGGTTAGGATGTTTGTGTAATACTGTTTTCTAATCTGGAGTTAATGATGAGATTATGAAGTTAGGAACTGTTGTTCTGTGATGTCCTAAATTGAGTCTGTACTAAAGTCATCATGGAGACTAAACAGATCAGATTTCAGAATCAGGATGTTTCTGTGATACGGCCTCCGGATCAGAACATCCTTAAGACGGATTTTGTGATTTAGAGTGTTTTAACTCCGATTAAGTGCACACATGAAGGACGACAGTGAGGAAATCTAACTTCTGTCACGTCTCTGTGTTCTGATTCACAAGAATTACACTGACTGATTACTTTAGATTTTTATTGTTCTCTCAAATCTCAGGGAAATTAAGGCAAAGTCTTACGCAACACTGAGGAATGTTACACACTGTAAATCTGTCAGACTGAGTCACGGGTGAGTCAACCTGCTGCCTGTCTCAACACAACTTTTTATATTCTGAGGAAGCAAACAAACACAAACGCCATAGAAACTCTGCACTAGCTGTATCTGATCCCAGCCACCGGGGGGCGACAGCGAGCTGGCATTACGCTGTCTCATCAGAGCTGTCAGATTCAGAGAGGAAGAGCTTAAAGGGGACTCTCACCGATTTTTCAAAATTACTTGATAATTCAGTGTTTGAGTTGTAAACAGAGTGATTCAATGTGGTTTGGTGTGAAATGGTTCAGTTGTCTTTTCAGTGGTGGTGACAGGAACCAGGAGTCACAATGACTACAGCACAAATATAGACATTTTATTTACTATACAAAACCACCAGTGAACCTACACATGTCTTCTGGGCTTTTATATGGAATGTTGATGATGGTAAAATAGTGAAAAATCTGAAATAATAAGCTTTCCTTGGGAACTACTTTGCCTCACAACACTCTGCATGTATCCCTCCACCATGAATGGCTATAAAGATACATGTTTTAGGCCAAAATCTTCTCAAAACTATCGTAAAACAGTGTCTCAGACATCAGGCAGTGAATTTATAACCATTTCATGTAATAACTTTCTGTGAAAAAGCTTTTAGAGGTGGACGTCTGGTTCCTATCACCACCACTGTGAACAATTCAGACTCTGTAAGTTTATCCAGAACAGAGTATTTCACACCAAACCACTCTGAATGACTCTGTTTACATCTTAACTGTTTAATTATGCAGAAATTGTGAAAATTTGATGAAATCCCCATGGTTGGACTTCAATAAATAAAACAAATTCCTCATTTTCCCTCTTACCCCAAAAAAGATGATTGCTTCTGTAGTTTTGCACTGGAGCTATGAGCTTAATGTAGCTAATAAGTAATGTGAATGTTTTTGGGTTACTCCCTCCGCGTGAAGAAGCAGAAAAAGTGATGCAAACACTGGAAGGAAGATTATCACACGTCTCATGACGTCCTACACTGCTAAAAAACCCTCTTAAATAAGCACGGCTCCTCCTCAGGCTGTGTTGTGTTGGTTATAAAGCAGTCCAGGCTGAAACACTCCTTATAACGTCAGTGTGAGTGGGCGGGGCTAAACTGCAGCACGCTGACTAGGGGGGATATATCGCTGTTGTCTGAAGAAAACTCATCTCCAAAATAGTGACTTTACAAGAGAAGGAAAAAAACCTACTTTAGTTTTAAGGTAAGTCAATGGAACCAGGAGTTTTTTTTACAAGTAATTTTGGGTCTTTTCTTTTGGTCCATTCATCATGAAATTTACACAAGACGTAAAAGGACAACAGGTATTTTCAAATTATGTCAAAAACAAACAGTGAGCTCAATGTGAATTTCAAAACTTAAGAAGAAGCAAGTTTCTATAAATGAGGGGATTTGGGGTCAGTTGTGGATCATTTTCAATAAGTTAAATGATTCAGAACAAAAGTCGATAGTTTCACACCTGCTTGTGGGCAGCGTAAAAACAGCAGCTGTCTACTTGGTTGGTATGGGTAACACCTCTGCCTTCTATGCTGTAGACTGGGGTTCAATCCCCACTTGGGTAAGCACCCTAAACTAAACCAGTAAGAGTCCTTGGGCAAGACTCCTAACACTACTTTCGCCTACCTGTGTAAAAATGGTCAAATTGGAAATCGCTCTGGATAAAAGCATCTGCCAAATGCCATAAATGTAAAAGTACTGACGAACATTATAGATCCCATATCATAGAGAACAAATTTTGAAATAAAGTAGTTTGCAATAATATGTAAACATAGTTGAAGTGTCAAAACATACAATTCACTACCCAGATAATGTCTGGAAGCTCGCAAAAAAACAGTCCTTTTTGAATTCATTCTTTCTGTGATGTCATGAGAACGGCATCATTTACCTATATTCATCTATTCAGCCTACAGCAGGTGCAGCTCCACCTATTCTCACTAAAGTTATAAGGAATGTTTCAGCTCTGAGTGCTTTTTGAACAAGGTACAATACAGAGCAGCTAATAAGAAAAGAGCTCATTTACATATGTCAGTAACAAAAACAGCCTGTTTAATTCTAAATAAAGAGAGGATGGTCAGGTGATAATGTACTATTTAAGGTATCTAAACTTACACAAATGTGGGATATGGGCCCTTTAATGTTTATTCTCAGGATACTTTTTCACTGAGACCTCAGGACGATGAAAATTAAGGCTACAGTCATGAATAGGGCTGAATAAGATAAACTGTCGACCCATCATTAGTTGTTAAAAAAGTGCTCTATAATGCTCATATGACTGTGAAGATTGCAGCGCACTGCAGAAAGCGAAGAGGGTGACACGGCTTCTACTGTCTCACTGAACAACAAATGAAGGAATGGGATGTTAAACACACAGAACTTGGAGTCACGACAGCAGCAAAGGCAGATGATCTGAAGAATTAGCCCACAAAGTGATCAGTAAAAGTCAATATGGTCATCAACTGTAAAAACAGTCAGCAGCAGCAGCACAAAAATACAAACCAAAAACAAACAGTTAAACAAAAAAAGGTAACACACCTTGGAGGATTTCCGCCGACTCCTGCGCGTCCACACAACCACAAGTTTATCTGGTTGCCTGAAAGCACAGACAGGAGCAAACGATTAGTGACTGAATAAAATGGTACATACAGTGAATGCGTTTCATGAACTGGGCAGAGCTCACGCTCCTCAGATGTTTGTCCTGGATGTGCTAAGCTGATTTTGCTAAGACGCAACAACTTGGCACCAGTTTGGAGAGAACCTGCTGCCGTGTCATCCACGAGAAAGACAAGCGTTTACGTTGTGGGTGTGTATGAGTGCGTCTGTACATACAACATCGATACACAGTGGATCATTTGCTATCATCTGTGGTGCATCAGAATAACTGCCCTGAACAAGTATTTATATTTATATATATATATATATATATATATATATATATATATATATTTACACACACACCAGTTAGTTCTGGCCACGCAAGCTGATTAGTTGAGAATCGTTCTAACCAGGCTAATATTTGACATAACATCACGGGTTTTTCACAAACATTGTATCACTCCGCTAAGACACCGTTGCTAAGCTGTAGGAGACGCTCAAGCCATTTGAACATTTTTACTTCTTACTTTGCACAAACAGAAAATGGATACTTTTAAGATCACATTTGACCGACAGCCGATTTGGTCAGACTCTGAAGATGAGACCACACTAAATTCCCAAACTGTCATCACCACTGAGCAGCTTTTCAGTCGGCAGCTGTGACGGAAGAACCTAAACAACCTGGAATCAGCCAGAATTTAACCGAATACCATTCGCCAAATGTGTAGTCTCGTCTTCAGAGTCTGACCAAATCGCTCTGAGCCGTAAAACTGCCGTAATAAAAAAACAAAAAAGCTGCTCAGTGGTGATGACAGTTTCGGAGAGCAGTGTAAGGAGCTGGAGAACAAACATTTTGAATATTTTAGCTATGATGTAGATGGAAACTTTGCAAATGATACAGTACTACACTCAAAGATGGTGATTCAAATATTCTCAGGTATAGAAAATGAACACTCAAAGAACCCTTTGCATGATTAAAGCATTCTTTGCATCAAGAAAGTGTTCTTCAGATTGATGGAGAATGTGTTGTAGATGGTTCTATATAGAACTTTTTTGAAAATGGTTCTATATAGTACCCATTGTTACGGTGTCAAGCTTGTAACAAGAGAAGAACTCTTGGGAACCTTTTCAAAAAGGTAACATATAGAACCGCCTATAGCACATTCATGCACATTTTCCATCAACCCAAAGAACCCTTTAATCCTGCAAAGGACCTATTTGAACGTTCATGTTTAGTGAATGTTCAGTGTGTGTGATCATAATAGCTCTCTCTCTCTCTCTCTCTCTCTCTCTCTCTCTCTCTCTCTCTCTCTCTCTCTCTCTCTCTCTCTCTCTCTCTCTCTCTCTCTCTCTCTCTCTCTCTCTCTCTCTCTCTCTCTCTCTCTCTCTCTCTCTCTCTCTCTCTGCTCCAGGCTATTAATCATCATCACCATCTTCAAGGGTCATTTGACTACTTGATGACTGCAAAACACATGCAAACAGAATTAGAAGCAGATAAACTGAATCCGGTCCACTCTTAAATCTGTTGACCTCCTTACAGAGTCATTTGTGGTCCAGTTTCAGTGTAAATAAGTGATGACTCTGAGAAAAGGGTCAGCAGAGCGAGACCTTGTGTGTATAGCGTTTCTCTGGACAACAACACTGACCCAGGATCAGCTCTTCTATCTGTAAGACTGTATTCATCACTGCACTAATGCTTAAAACTGATCCTAGAGCAGCTCTCGGGCTTCCTGGGCTGTTCAGAGCAATGATGTTGAACCGCTAACAAGTAACTAAAACACCAGCCTGACCGGCTTATTTTGTCTGTTAACTTATCAGATGACAGCAAAAATAAATATTAGCTGCATTCCAAATCCTAGACTGCAGCCAATTTAGTAGGACTGTCCTATGAAGACTACTCCTTAGCAGCCTATTGGTCACACAAATGGGACAGGCCTGACGAGGCTGTGTGGTGACATCACCAGGAAGGTCCCGCCTCTTGCAATTGCAGCACAAAACTGGTAAAGGAACTGGTGAGAGAAAATGGAGCCCGTTGACTTGTGTTTGTTTTGTAAACAAGCTTATGTAGTACAATAAACGACATACATACAAATACTTCAGATTAAAAAATAATTAATTAATTAAAGCATTAGTCAATCAATCATTTTACTCTTTATAAGGTCATGAAGATGAATTCAAAGACATGAACAACTTTCATTGTAAAACAAGCTCTGCTCCAATGGCCTCGTTTTCTGTCATTTTCGTGGTGCTTTCCTTCGCGTCATTTGTTCGCACAGAACTGTGGGTAACCGAAGGCCTGGAAGGATACATCCGTCATTCAGAACGTAGGCTGCACTTCTAGGCTGTATATGAGGGTCCAGTTAAACAGGGACTCACTGTGAGCTCCTCGCAGACCTTACACTGGGCTGTGTGTCATCCAGGAAAAAGGTGAACAGAATGAAATAATGTCAACAGTAACATGAAACTCAAAACAGCTTACAAAATCAAAACCACACCCGCTCACACACACACACACACACACACACACACACATACATACACACCCACACAGCAGAGTCCGCACTGACTGTAATCTGGGTCTGTCTGCGTGTGTGTGCGAGAGTGTGTCTATTTACATGACTTGGCATTTTCAGCCGGTGTTCTCGGAGTGAGAGCACTGGTGACTCCGTTCTCTGTGAATCTGATCCTGTATCAGCTTCACTTAGCCCACACTGACCCACCCAGCACACAGTGAGGGTCCAAACAGAAACCCAACATCAGAACACAGTCAACAGCCAATTTAATACCGGGGTGGATGGGTGAGACAGATTGGGGGAGCCAGGGAGAGAGGCAGAGACAGAGAGAGAGACAGAGAATGGGTGAGCTCTAGAGAGAGATTTACTGTAAGTTTCTGTGCCTTGGGGGTAGAAATTCAAATACAAAGTTGCCCATTGTGTCTCTGTGTTTATGATCAGCATCATCATCACACACACACACACACACACACACACACACACACACACACACCTCATAAACGCCATAAATAATTCTGAACTTTGCTGAGCCACAAAACCCTCCCTCAGAAAACTCCCATAATGCTGTTCTCTGTCACATTTCCTCTGTTTCTTTAACTCTTTTGTTTTTCCTCCCTCTCTTTCCCTCTCTCCAGTTTTCTCCACGTACTCTTTCATCTTTACCTCCACTGCTCCCCAGTGGGTGCTTTAAAGAAATAAACAAGCAGATGAAACTAAACTCTCCCGGTACGCGCAGGGGGGCGCGGCCCTGTCGAGCCACAGACAGGTAAAGACAGGGAGTGTGCTGCTGCAGGAGGAACGCACACTGATCCTCTGGGATGAGGAGAGAGTTTTTTCTCTTTCCGTTTGCGTTCCTGATGAGGCGAGGGCGAGCGGGAAGGCTTCCAGACGGCGCTGTGCCAGGCAGCCGGCCTCTGGGGAAACGCACAGCGAGAGCTACAGCGTCTCACTGCGCAGCGTGGCTACATCAGCTAACTGTTCAGAACTACTGCTCGCCAGACAGGACGTCACACATACTCACTGCCCTCTTCATCAGAAACACTGACCTTAGAGGTCCGCTATAAACACTGGACAAAGTAAAGTATCTGGACAGTCCTACTGAGTAAATTCAGGCACTCTGAGATTCACACACTACTGATACAGCAGTTGTATCATCATATTTATAATCTCCATAGAAAAGCCAATAGAAGGCAAGGCAAGTTTATCTGTACAGCACCTTTCATAGAAAAATAAAATAGATAGATCACTTCAAAAATAGACAGAGAGACAGACAGACAGACAGACAGATAACTTCTAAAATAGATAGATCACTTCTAAAATAGACAGAGAGACAGACAGATAGACAGACAGAAAGACAGACAGATTAGATCACTTCTAAAATAGAGTGACAGAGATTCAGAGACAGACAGACAGACAGGTAGACAGACAGATAGATTAGATCACTTCTAAAATAGACAGAGACAGACAGATAGACAAATAGACATAGATAGATAAATCACTTTTAAAATAGACAAAGATGAACAGAGAGACAGATCACTTCTAAAATAGACAAATAGACAGATAGACAGATAGAGATAGACAGACAGACAGATAGAGAGATCACTTCTAAAATAGACAGACAGATCACTTTATTAATCCCAAAGGGAAAGTCGTCTATTACAGCAGCACAGAGTACAATAAAGAGCAAAACAAGAGCCGATGTCGTCGTACACTATTATAAAGATGCATGAAGATATATAACAAAATATTCTAAAAGAACCATAAAATGTAATGTGCAGTACAAAAATAAGTAAGTAAAATTGGATAAATATTATGCAGGTGGCAATGCAGTGATGCATGACACTTCCAGTGGATGAACTGAGTAACTATATTATACGATAACATACGTTAATAGCTGTGCAATATGCCTGGGTGTATAAACGAGTGGCAGCGCAATATTCAATACTGAAGTATAAGGTGGCAGTGCAATATGTAATACTGCAATAATCATTAGATAATAATACAGCTAATGGCATCCTGAGATCCTGAGACACTCAGTTACTGCAGTGCTTTTTCAAAAAAAGGCATAAAAATAGAGAGGCCTAAATTTTGACAAAGAAATGCAATTGTGATTATACTCGAGTCGTTCCCAGTGCCCCAAGTGAGGAAGAGCAGCAAAAGTTAGAACAGGATGCTCCACAGCAGCCGCAACTTAGGCTACACTCACATTACGAGCTGTTTGTTTTGCAAGCTGTTTATTGCTGAATTAGTCCTCTCTAATTCTCTCAGTTCTTTTACCGAATGATTATTGCCTTTTACACATCACCATTGGGTTACGTGACCATCATCAATGACATCTGATTTCATCGGCCTAACGCCCAGGCCTAATATCAACTATACAAAATTCCCACCCAACTCAAATCGAACCAAGGAAAACGACAAAAAAGTAACTTCAAAAATCTTCCAACAGCAAAGACCAACAGGATCCTTTCTCTGCCAGCTCAGA